AAAGTATACCAGTACCTGTCCTTTGGTCAGAGCTTTGTGTGTGCCCCCAGATCGAGAACTCAGCAGAGGAGTTTGCTCTGTACATGGTGCACACGAGCGGAGGTGAGTGCCCCAGATCACCCCCGGCCGGGGTGCCCCAAATCCCTGGCCAGGAGTGCCCCAGATCCCCATGGTGCTGCCCAGGCACTGCTGGTACCACCCTGGCAGTGCTGGTACCACTGGGGAGCTGGCAGAACCACCCTGGCACTGCTGGTACCACCCTGGCAGTACCAGTACCACGCTGGCAGTGCCGGTGCCCCCCTGGCAGTGCCGGTGCCCCCCCAGCAGTGCCAGTGCCCCTGGCAGTGCTGGCACCACCCTGGCAGTACCAGTACGGAGGGTGGGGGGAGTCACAGGTTTGGGTTGGAGGGACCCCAAAGCCCACCCAGTGCCACCCCTGCCACGGCAGGGACGCTCCCGCTGCCCCAGGTGGCTCCAAGCCCTGTCCAGCCTGGATTTTTTTGGGAATTCCGAGCCAGCCCCTCCTCATCCTCTCAGGGAAGGGTTTATCCCAGGGGCTGGGGCTGCAGGAGCTGCTCTGCTGCTGCGGGGTCTGCCAGGAAAACCCCCCGGGAAATTCCCGGAGCTGTTCCCAGAGCAGCCCCCAGCCCCACGGCGCCCCCCAGCTGTGCTCAGGGAGCCGGGATTTCCAAGGAATTGTTTTTCCAGCGGTGGCAGCGGCTCCCCTGTGCTCTGAAATCCCGCCCCAAACCCGGCACTTTTGGGGTGAATTTGGGATTAAGCAGCTCTGAGGCTTTGGGGACACTCAGAGCCACCTGCAGCAGCCAGTGGGCAAATTAAAATCAATAAACCTCAGGTGGATCTTTTCCCCATCATTATCCACTTGTTTGCATGAGCTGATGGTCACAAACATCTTTTTTTTTAGGGTTTGCAACAAAATTTTGGGATCTTTGGTTAAATCTGCAGAGAGGGTGGGGGGTGGGTCAGTTCAGCCCCCTCTTCACCATCGCCTGCCTCTCCTGTCCCACCCAGGTCGCCCAGTACATCAAATTCGAGATGCCCATCCTCAGGAGCTTCATCCAGAAGCTGGAGGAGGAGGAGGACCGGGAAGTGAAGAAGCTGAAGCACAAGTACGTGAGGCTGGGGGGATGCTGAGAGGGAAAACATCCCTAAAAAAACCTCATTTGTGCAGCCCCAGGATGCTCCAGCACTGGGATTTTCCCTGCCTGGTGATCCCTAAATTTGGGGAAGTAGAGATGGGGAAAAAACAGGAGGGAAAAATCATAATTTCGGGTTTTTTTGTGGGATTTGCTGCCCGGTTTTGTGGCGTTCCCTCCAAAAGCGGGGATTGGCACCCCCAGAGTGGGGTTTGCATTATTCCAGGGTTGGAAAAATCCCTTTTTTTTCCCTCCCTAGATACTCCATCCTGCGGCTGATGATCGAGCAGAGGCTGGAGGAGATTTCCGAGGGCCCCACGGCCATGTGAGCGTCCCTGGGATGCGCTGCACCAAATCCCGACCCCAAAACGCCCCCGCTGCCCCCCTGGGTGACTCCAGCCCCCAGCCAAGCCCCCTCCCACGCCCCCATCCCCAGGAATCCTCGGGGGTTCTTCCCAGGAAGGTTCTGGCTGGCTGCAGCCAAAACCTCGAATCCCTGGAAAACACAGGGAAAAAAATATTTAAAAAAAAAAAATAAAAGAGAAAAAAGAGGAAATCTGTCAGCAGCAGCAGCGAGGTGAGGGCTGCCAGAGTTCCAGAGCTGGAATTTTGGGGGCTCAGGTTGGAAATGCCCGACGTGGCTCCCAGTGGAGTTCCTGCTGCTCGGCAGCAAGAGAGCACAAAAAAAACAAAAAAAATCCTCTTTTTTTTTTAGAGAAAAGCACATTCCTGCCCTGTCACCGCAATAATTCCCAGGTGTCGGGAGGATTTTATAAATCCAAAGGGTTGCCTGTGATTTTGGGGGGGTTTAACCCTGACCTAAGGGCTCCTGGAGGTATTTCCAGCCCAGGAGAAATTCCCATTTTTCCCAGCCCCTTCCCCAAAGCCGTGGCTGTGGCGCAGCCCCTCCGTCCCCCCCACCCCGCTGTAATTTGCACTAATATTTAGGGATTTTGAAGAAAACCACGATGTCAAACCTCTCTGGGAGCTGAAAATGCCAAATAGCACTCGCAGGGATGGCTGAGGGCCCCGAGCATCTCCAGGGGTGCTGGGAAAGGGCAGAGGCAGGAGGAGGGGGAGGCAGAAATAAAGAGGATTTTGTTTTCCAAATGCATTTTCCAGCAGTGCCAGGAGATTATCCTGGTGAAACCAGGGCCAGGCTGGCTCCACCAGCAGCAGCAGCTGGAAAAAACCTCTTTCCTCCCAGGCTAAACCAGCAATACCCATTTTATACCTCGATGTGAACTAAACCTCTGACTTCCTCCCCCTTCCCTTTGAGTTTTCGCAATGCATCTTTGTAATTTTCTTTATTTTTTTTTTTAATTTTTAATTTTAATGGTACCTTTTCCACCTTTGACTCACGTTGGGGAAAGTGTTGTACAGCGAGAGGAGCTTTTGGTGTGTTTGAAGGGTGATTGTGGCACTGCTGCGTGGATTAACAAGGAAATGAAATAAAATAAAATAAAATATGTAGCAACTTCATGCCGAATGAAATCCCCTGTGTCAGAGCCTGGCTTTCCAAAATCAATCACTTTTTTGTGGGTAGAAACGCCATGGAAATAAGTAAAAAATGAGGGAGAAGAGTAAAATCCCAGTGGAGAAGTTCCCCAAGGAGAAACGCTCTCACCTCCCAGATTTAAACTCCCACCTAAATTTCTGGTGGATTTTTGGGTAATATTGAGCTGGTTTAGGGCTTGGCTTTCCAAAATCAATCACTTTTTTTGTGGATAGAATGAGTAAAAAAAAGTAAAACCAGTCTGAAACCAAGTGGAGAAGTTCCCCAAGGAGAAACGCTCTCACCTCCCAGATTTAAACTCCCACCTAAATTTCTGGATTTTTGGGTAATATTGAGCTGGTTTAGTGCCTGGCTTTCCAAAATCAATCACTTTTTTTGTGGATAGAACCATTATAGAAATGGGTAAAAAATTACATGAAGGAAAAGAATAAATCCCAGTGGAGAAGTTCCCCAAGGAGAAACGCTCTCACCTCCCAGATTTAAACTCCCACCTAAATTTCTGGAGGAATTTTGGGGTAATATTGAGCTGGTTTAGGGCCTGGCTTTCCAAAATCAATCACTTTTTGTGGATAGAAATGCCATGGAAATGGGTAAAAAATGAGATGAAGGAAAAGAATAAATCCTGAATACCAGTGGAGAATCTCCCCAAGGAGAATCTGGGCTCTCACCTCCGGGATTTAAACTCCCACCTGAATTTCTGGAGGAATTTTGGGGTAATATTGAGCTGGTTTAGGGCCTGGCTTTCCAAAATCAATCACTTAGTTGTGGATAGAATGATTAAAAAAAGTAAAACCAGTCTGAAACCAAGTGGAGAATCTCCCCAAGGAGAATGTGGGCTCTCACCTCCCGGATTTAAACTCCCACCTGAATTTCTGGAGGAATTTTGGGGTAATATTGAGCTGGTTTAGGGCCTGGCTTTCCAAAATCAATCACTTTTTTTTGTGGATACAACCATTATAACAGAAATGGGTAAAAAAATCTGGTTAAAAAAAACCACTCTGAAGCCCAGTGGAGAATCTCCCCAAGGAGAATCTGGGCTCTCACCTCCCAGATTTAAACTCCCACCTCCATTCCTGGCAGATTTTGGGTAATATTGAGCTGGTTTAGGGCCTGGCTTTCCAAAATCAATCACTTTTTTTTGTGGATACAACCATTATAACAGAAATGGGTAAAAAAATCTGGTTAAAAAAACCACTCTGAAGCCCAGTGGAGAATCTCCCCAAGGAGAATGCGGGCTCTCACCTCCCGGATTTAAACTCCCACCTCCATTCCTGGCGGATTTTTGGGGAGCACTGGGCAGCCTCAGGTGTCACCCCCCCTTAGGGATTGTCCCTCCCCAGGGATAATTCCTCCCCGCCATCCACAGGCTCCATCCCGAGGGTATTTCCCTCCCGGCAGTAAAACCCGGCTGGTTTTTGCCTCCTGGAAGCGGAGCCGGGGCTGTCCCGGAGCCCTCCCCGCACGGGGGGCAGGATTTGGGCTGATCCCAGCGGGAAAATCCCGCAAAACCCCGCAGCCAGCCCAGCCCAGCCCGGACAGAGCCAGCGGCGCACGGGTAAGGGCAGCACCCGCGATTTTTGGGGTGAAAAGAGGAGGGATCGGGTGCGGAGAGAGGAGGAAAATAATTGGGGTTTGTTTGGCTCAGCTGGAGGTTGGGATGGGCAGAGCAGCCCCGGGGTTTTCCCCGCCTGCTGATCCCCAAATTTGGGGAAGTGGAGAGGAGGGGAAATCCTAATTTCGGGTTTTTTTGTGGGATTTGCTGCCCGGTTTTGTGGTGTTTCCTCCAAAAGTGAGGTTTGGCATCCCCAAAGTGCGGTTTGCACTATTCCAGGGTTGAAAAATCTTTTTTTTTTTTTTTTTTTTTTTTTATGGGATTTGCCGCCCTTTTTTGCGGTTTTTGTGCCAACATCTGGAAGCGGGGTGGGGGGACACTTCTCAGTGTTTTCCCTAAAACAACCCCAAAAACCGAAGGAGTGGGGCAGGGAAATGAGGCAAATTAAATTAATTTCCATTTTGGAAGGGACGGGGCGGGGGGGCCGGGCCTGGCAGCTTCCAGGGGGGAGGAATCGCTGACACAGGGATGTCACTGCCGGGGGGGCTCGGCTTTGTCCCCGAGCTTTTGTGTGCCGGGGCCGCGATGGCTCAGCAGCTCCGGCACAATGGTCAGGATGTGTTTGCTCAGCCCCCGGGGAGGGGCGCGGGGGGGATCTCACCCCGCTCCCGCCCGAATTTGGGGATTTTTGGGGTTGTTCGCCGCCCGGTGCCCGCGGTCGCTGCTTGTGGGAAGGATGGGATGAGGTAAAAATGTGAAATAATGGGTTAAGTTGTGGGATTTTGGGGTGGGGTGGGTTGGGAGAGGCCTTAGAGATCAGCCTTGTTATGGGGAGGGAAATCTGCCACTGGAATGCACTGACTACGTATCAATATAATAGATAAAAATAGGGATAAATACCTTAAAATGTAATAAAATAATACCACATTTATTAATATAATAATATAGAACTAGATAATAAAATACCACATTTATTAATATAATAATATATAGTAATGCAATAATTATTAACACGATAATATAATAATGTAATAATATAATAATGTAATATAATATAATATAATATAATATAATATAATACAATATAATATTAGAATATAATATAATATTATAATATAATATAATATTAGAATATAATATAATATTAGAATGTAATAATATAATAATACAGTATAATAATACAATAATATAATGATATAATAATATAATGATATATAATACACATTATCTATTGTTCTGTTTTAATGGTCTCTATTAGAAATCATTGGTTATTGATCACATATTGTTATATATTCTGTATTATCAATAATGCATAGTAACCTAAACAATAAATGAATGCTTAAATAATAAAATAGAGATAATATAGAGATAAACGGAGACAATAGACACAGATAAATAGAGACAATATAGAGATAAATAGAAATAATATAGCAATAAATAGAGATAATAGAGACAGGTAAATAAAGATAAAATAGAAATAAATAAAGCCAGTAGATTGAGATAAAAGCCACTGAGGTTAGCTTGGTGTTAATAACACCAAGTTTGGGGCTTTGATCTCTGCCTGTGCCACACACGGAATTCCACACTCACAGAATTGCACACAGAATTCCACGCTCACAGAACCCCAGACTCATGGAATTCCACACTCACAGAACCCCCCCACACACACACACAGAATTCCACACAGAATCCCACACTCACAGAACCCCAGACTCACAGAACCCCAGACTCATAGAACCCCACACTCACAGAATCCCACACACAGAATTACACACTCACAGAATTACACACTCACAGAATCCCACACTCACAGAATCGCCGCCCTTTTTTGCGGTTTTTGTGCCAACATCTGGAAGCGGGGTGGGGGGACACTTCTCAGTGTTTTCCCTAAAACAACCCCAAAAACCGAAGGAGTGGGGCAGGGAAATGAGGCAAATTAAATTAATTTCCATTTTGGAAGGGACGGGGCGGGGGGGCCGGGCCTGGCAGCTTCCAGGGGGGAGGAATCGCTGACACAGGGATGTCACTGCCGGGGGGGCTCGGCTTTGTCCCCGAGCTTTTGTGTGCCGGGGCCGCGATGGCTCAGCAGCTGCGGCACAATGGTCAGGATGTGTTTGCTCAGCCCCCGGGGAGGGGCGCGGGGGGGATCTCACCCCGCTCCCGCAAGAATTTGGGGATTTTTGGGGCTGTTCGCCGCCCGGTGCCCGCGGTCGCTGCTTGTGGGAAGGATGGGATGAGGTAAAAATGTGAAATAATGGGTTAAGTTGTGGGATTTTGGGGTGGGGTGGGTTGGGAGTTTGCCTAGGTGCTCCAGCCTGAAGAATGGGATTTGCCGCCCTTTTTTGCGGTTTTTGTGCCAACATCTGGAAGCGGGGTGGGGGGACACTTCTCAGTGTTTTCCCTAAAACAACCCCAAAAACCGAAGGAGTGGGGCAGGGAAATGAGGCAAATTAAATTAATTTCCATTTTGGAAGGGACGGGGCGGGGGGGCCGGGCCTGGCAGCTTCCAGGGGGGAGGAATCGCTGACACAGGGATGTCACTGCCGGGGGGGCTCGGCTTTGTCCCCGAGCTTTTGTGTGCCGGGGCCGCGATGGCTCAGCAGCTGCGGCACAATGGTCAGGATGTGTTTGCTCAGCCCCCGGGGAGGGGCGCGGGGGGGATCTCACCCCGCTCCCGCAAGAATTTGGGGATTTTTGGGGCTGTTCGCCGCCCGGTGCCCGCGGTCGCTGCTTGTGGGAAGGATGGGATGAGGTAAAAATGTGAAATAATGGGTTAAGTTGTGGGATTTTGGGATGGGGTGGGTTGGGAGAGGCCTTAGAGATCAGCCTTGTTATGGGGAGGGAAATCTGCCACTGGAATGCACTGACTACGTATCAATATAATAGATAAAAATAGGGATAAATACCTTAAAATGTAATAAAATAATACCACATTTATTAATATAATAATATAGAACTATATAATAAAACACCACATTTATTAATATAATAATATATAGTAATGCAATAATTATTAACACGATAATATAATAATGCAATAATATAATAATGTAATAATAATATAATATAATACAATATAATACAATGTAATATTAGAATATAATATAATATTAGAATATAATATAATATTAGAATATAATATAATATTAGAATGTAATAATATAATAATACAGTATAATAATACAATAATATAATGATATAATAATATAATGATATATAATACACATTATCTATTGTTCTGTTTTAATGGTCTCTATTAGAATTCATTGGTTATTGATCACATATTGTTATATATTCTGTATTATCAATAATGCATAGTAACCTAAACAATAAATGAATGCTTAAATAATAAAATAGAGATAATATAGAGATAAACGGAGACAATAGACACAGATAAATAGAGACAATATA